TGAGAGAATTCATCACAAGCAGACATGCACTACAAGAAACACTAAAGGAAGGCTTTTAAGCTGCAGGGAAATGATTGCAGATGATAACCTGAATCTGCAGGATGGAAGGAAAAGCACTGGAAAAGTTAAATATGTGGAAAAAATTAAAAGACTGATTTGATTTATTTATTTATTTATTTATTTTTGCTGAGGAAGATTAGCTCTGAGCTAACATCTGTGCCAGTCTTCCTCTATTTTGTATGTGGGATGCTGCCACAGCATGGCTTGATGAGTGGTGTGTAGGTCCGCGCTTGGGATCCAAACCCATGAACCCTGGGCTGCTGAAGTGGAGTATGTGAACTTAACCACTATGCCACCAGGCCAGGTCCCAGACTAAATTTTTTAAAATTTATTTTACAAAAACATACAGAACAATATATTGTGGCATTTATAACATGTGGAAATAAAATGCATGGCAAAATATTACAAAAAACCAGAGAGTAAATGGAATTACATTATTGTAAGGTTGTTACACTGTGAAGTATAATTCATTTCATGGTAATCAAGGTAGACTGTGATACTTTAAGAATGTAGATTATAATCTAGTGTACCACAAAAACAATACAAAGAAATATAGCTAAACAGTCAATAAAGTAGATAAAAATGGAATACTAAGAATGACATAGCAAAGTTCAGTGAGAATGTTTGGAGGTAGTAGATGCAGGAAATTAGGTTAGAAAATGATAGCTTGGATGTTAGGTTATGAAGGGCCTGTTATGTTACGCTAAGGAGTTTGTACCTTTTCTTGGAACCAGCAGTGAGCCATTGAAACTTTTTGGGTAGAAGATGAATATCATGTTATTTACAGAAGTAACCTGTAGGACATTATAACTCCTACCATAAATTATATCTTATTATAAGAGATGTTACCTTGAACTGAGGTTTGAGGGAAGGGAAGGGACTTGACATAGATTTGAGAGATTTTTGAGATAGAATAGATAGGACTAGATGACTTACACAGTATTAACAGTATGAGGTAGAGGGAAGAATCAATAAATCTAGAGTATTTGTGTTTGGAAGCTGTTGGATGTCGGTGTTATATGAGAAATTGAGGAAAGGTGTGTAGTATCAGACTGAAGGAGGAAGACAGTGAGGTCTGGGTGTGGTTGATTTGAGGTGTCTTCAGGACATCCAGGTGATGTTGAATAAACATCTATATATAACTTGATGCTGTAGGTCTTAGATACATATCTTAATTCTAAGATGCACATTTTGTCACATTTTGACATCTCTGAAAACAGTTGTGGCTTATAATTAATGGCCTCCCCAAATCCTTTTTGAACAGGCAGTTTTGTGCATTATTGGTAATTTATGTGTTCATTGGAAGAATAAACAACAATTTCATATTTTCTTGCAAAGCAACAAACAAATGCTTTTTGAGACCTAAAAAAGGAAAATAGACACAAGTGAAAAAAGCTGTGTTAAGTGCAAAAAGATTGCTATCACATGCCAAGCATTGATATTGAAGACACCGGAGAAAAGCGCCCTATCTGTGGGGATAGATAAAAGAAATTTCAAAAACAAGAGAGGCTGATATGACCAATTTATGTGTCACACAGGACTGTTGTTAAGGCATTGTATGAGTTTAATTCACGTTTTTTCTTTTTTAGAAGTTCATAAAAGTATGGTGTTTCTTACAGCTTTGATGAAAAAAAGCATTGGCATATGGGTGGTAGCTGCAGCTGTGGCAGTGGAGGAGATATTGAGTGAGAACATAGTGAGAGGAGAAGAAGGCGTGCGAGATCTCTAAGAATAGTGTCTGATGTGAATTCTGGTGTGAGTGTTCACTTCTGTTAGAGTGCGTGCCTGTTCTGATTGCTGAGTGCAGGGACTCCTTGACATCTGTCAACTTCACCTCAAAACTTAGTGGCAGCCTTTTTACTTTCCTAAGGCAGAGAATAGTAGCACCACGGTGTTACCAGTGAGAAATACCAGGGTGTTCCAAAGACTTAGGTTCTGTGTGTGAAAGTGACATGTGCAGTTAGGCCAAGGAAATAGCCTCCGTAACAATGAAGGAAGGCAAAAACAATTACTTTAGTTAGTTGTTAGCAATGTAATATGCTGGTGAAGCACCTGATCAAGAGAAAAGAAGCAGAAAAACATCAAGTGTGAGCAAAATAGAAATACAGCTTTTCCGTTGGTACTTTCCACAGACATCTTTTTTTCCCTAACCTTGTTTTATTTTCTTTCTTTTAGTAGATTCCCTTTAAAAATTACAAAAATACCATGTGTTCTCTATAACTAAATACAGAGTTTATTCTTATTACCTTATTTCTCTTATTTTCATTCTTCTATGCATTCATTCATTTGTTCATGCATTCAGAAATTTTTTCTTACATGTCTACAGATTATTAGTCATTGTCTGAGGTGCTGAGGATGTAATGGTAAACATGGTAGACAGTCACTTGCTCTCATGCTTCTTATATTCTACGAGGGGAGGCAGACACAAGTTTTTTCAAATATTCATAATTTATAGGAAGAAATAAAACATGGTTTCAGTTTGGGAGAAGCGACCTTTGATAGGGCATTCAGGGATGGATTCTCTAAAGAGATGATGGTTAGACTGAGATCCGAAGGTCGATAAAGGAATTAGGCATGCAAAGGGTAGGAGAAACAACGTGCAAAAGCCCTGAGGTAGAAACAAGTTTGAAGTGTTGGAGGAACAGAAGGAAGGACATTGGTAGGAAAGGAGATAGCCATAGTCAAGGTTATATAGGGCCGTGTATGCTTTATCTTGTTTTATTCCCAACCCTTATACTCTAGTTATCCAGTATTATTAGTAATAGTTTAAAACATTGAGTTCCAGGCTATTAGGCTTTCCGCTATATCATCTTTCATTTCAGGAATCCTCATTTAACAGTTACATTGCAAATACCAGTCACATTGCCATCTTCTGTTTACATTTAGCTCTTAAGATTCTTTGCTCACCAAGTTTATTTTCTCATCTTCTCTTGTCATGATATCTGTTTTGATGTAATTGTCATTTGGTTAGTGTTCATCCTCCAGTATTTTCATCAAATATATCTGGGTGATTTACTTCAGAATCCTTGCAAGTCCAAAAATGTGTTCACTTTGCCCTTATACATATCTTGACTGAGTGTGGGTTTCTTAGTTACTCCTCAATAGTTTGTAGATTGTCTGTCTTCTGGTGTTATAGGTAAGAAATCGGGTGTTACAGGTGAGAAATCTGGTGTTATAGGTGAGAAATCTGGTGTTATAGGTGAGAAGGTGATATAGGAAAGAAATTAGTCTTTTCGTATAAGGAACTTGTTCTGTCTGAAAGTTTGTAAAGTTTTTTCCTTGTCCTTAAAATTTAGGATTTCCAGTGGAATGTGGTGTCTTTTTTTTTTTTTTAATATTGTAATGCAGTAAGCTCTTGAAATCTGTACTCAAGCTTTTAACTCAAGAAAATTTTCTTCTATTATTTAATTACATCTCCATTTGTTTCTTTTTCTTTTCCTGGAACTCCTGATTTTATTCTAGGCTGTCTAAGTCTTATATTTCCCTCATGATTGCCATTTCTTTGTGTTTTTTCCCCTTTGCTGTGAGCAGTAGATCAAAGATTGACCTATTGCAGCAACTTTCAGCCTTTCTGACTCTGATTCACAGTAAAAAATACATTTTACGTAGCAACCCAGTTCATTCAAATCTAATTAGAGCAAAAGTTTCATGAAACAATATATACCCTTACTATGTGTGATGCACCCTATTTTCTATTCTCATTTAGTCTATTCTAGACTATTTATTTTAAAAATGCTAGTTGCTATATCAGTAATTCTCAACTGAGGGCAGTTTTGTCTCCTAGGGGACGTTTGGCAGTGTCTAGAGACATTTGTGATTGTTACTACTGCATTGGGTGCTACTGGCATCTAGTGGATAGAGGCCAGGGATGCAGCCACACATCCTATAATGCACAGGACAGCCCCACAACAAATGTCAGTAGTGCCAAGGTTGAGAAACTCTACACTGAATTGGTTTTTTGACTCCTCAGTGCTTCTTTTCTAAACCCTGGCTACATTCATGAGAATCACATGGAGAGATTGATTTACTAAGTCTGGATTAGCTGGTGACTGATAGTTTTAGAAGTTCCTCAGTGTTTGAAAAACACGGACTTATGATATATGGCCGTGAGAAAACATCTAGTCCTAATTTCATGTGGTTTTCTTGTTGTTTTTTTTTTTTCAGCAAAGGCTGATTATTAACCTGGTATTTAAGTGGTATAATTTTTTTTTTTTCTAACAAAGATTAGCCCTGACCTCACATCTGCTGCCTATCTTCTTTTTTTGTATGTGAGCTGCTGCCACAGGATGGCCACTGACAGATGAGTGGTGTGGGTCCATGCCTGGGAACCAAACCCAGGCTGCTGAAGTGGAGCGTGCTGAACTTAACCATTAGGCCACTGGGGCTGGCCCAGCAGTATAAGTTTTAGTTAAATAAATTCACGATTTAAAAAAGACCTGTTGTTAGATTATCCTGTGTTTCGAGTATTTTTTGTTGTTCAGGAGGTGAGGGTAAATTAAACCAGGCAATTAGATATTACTTCAGATAAGAATTTTTAGTGGAATAATTAAGGTTAACACATATGCTCTGTAGCTTTATACCACCTATATATTGTGTTTTAAAGTGCAGAATAAGCATCATCCCCAGGTGTTTTGAATACTAGAAATTTCTTAAGGTACTACATTCTGGTGAGCCCATGTTTCTCTGCAGTGATAGAAATAAAGATTATTCTTGTTTAGACAACATAGAAGAGATCATACTTAGCAGATCAGTCTGGTTACAAATAGAAGAGTCTAGCATAGGATCAGAATAGCCTGAAAAATTGAGTCATCTTTGGGTTCCCAGAGTTGGAGGAGGACTGACCTTCAGTGACAGAAGGGGTTAATTACTGGTTGTATATGGATTTCAAGATCTATGAAGTTCCTTTCATATCTAAATAGCTTTCTCTTATCTGCCAACAGGTACAACTGTAACTGCTTTAAAATTGTTTAAGAATCTACCTGTAAGAAAGCAATTTTACTCAACTGCTAAAAAATGTAAAGATGAAATAAAAAAAGTCCAAGATCTCCTCATAAGCTATGGTGTACTTAAACCTGACTTACGGATTGTTTTTATACATAACAAGGTAAGCATTATTGTACTTCTGTAAGATTTTTTTTGATATATGATACAAAGGGACAATGTATTTTATCTAAATCAGTTATATATATAAAGAGTCTTCTTTTAAAAATTTGTCCATGTTTGTTTAGTTTTATCTTTATTATATAAAGAGCATCTTTACTTTGTTACCTAATATCTGTATGAAATCTCATTTAAGCTTTCATTTCTTAATTTCTAAGATTGGTGATTCCACCAACAGACTTTTCCATCCGAGAAATATTTGAGTGCTTTCTAGATAAGATGAGTAAGACTTGTTCTTTTCCTTTAAGGAGTTCACAGTTGAGTGACCTTTTCACCTTCTAATCTAAACTGTTTCTTCTTTGGAAGAGCTTTTTGAAGGAAACTCTGCCTCATTTCTTTCCATTTTTCAAAGCAGGGCTGATAAGGAATTCTTCTTGTTGCTTGATAAATCTTAGGGGAAAGAAAGGTTTACATGTTTTCTGATTATTCTGTTTTTCATAAAATTCCACGTGTGTACCTTGAAACATTCAATGGAAGAAGAGCAGAACCACATGGCAGAAGTGTGGAAACCTGATGGGGAGTAAGGAGTTAATGTTTACTGAGGGCCTGCACGATGCCAGGACCTATGCGGGGCGCATTAAACTCCTGTAATCCACAGCAACAACCAAGTGAGGTGGACGTTTATCAGTTTTGCAGTTGTCCTCTGACCTGAACTCAGAGAGACTTAATACATTGCTCCATGTTGCGCAGCAGCTAGTAAACTGTTGTGATGAGGTTTGAAACTTAGCATGTCTACAGAGTGCAGGTTCTTTACACTCTGCTGTGTTGCCTTCCCAATTTGATACTATGTTTATATAGTTCTTTTCCAGGTTTCAGAGCACTTACTTTAATTTTGTGAGTTAGACAGCATTATCTCTATTTGTGTGGGGACCTTGAAGCTCAGAGTGATCAAAGGAATTGTTTTATATTTTACAGTAAGAAATAGTGCTGAGGTCAGAACCCTTTTTCATCCAGTTTTGTTTCTACTCCATGTCTTTTTACTTGTTGTTAAGAAGATTCTGTATTAAACCAAGCTGTAGTGCAATATTTATGATCAAAATCTTTGGTCATCTTAAAAAAAATAAAAAAGAAAGAAAAAACATTAGGAATAGTCAGCCACCTGTTCCTGCTGGCATAGAGCTCAACCAAATGATACCTTGAGATCCCTTCCAGCTCTGCCATGCTATGATTCCTCAGGATGTTGATGGATGGAGGCTCATCCTGCTAATATAAATAACCCTATGACCTCTTGATCCAAAGGACATTTAGTAATTAAAAGTTGAATGTGCACAAATTAAGAAAAGATCAAGGACAGAAGAAACAATGACCAGGAAGGGAAAACAGATGGAAAAGGTAAAATAGGAAGATAGGAACCACATATTTATAAAACAAAAGCAAGTACAACTAAAGAGAAAAGTTTTGAGTAAGAGAAAACATAATAGAAGAATAAAACAAGATTATTGCCTCATGTAATGGAATTGAGTATTTCAAGTCAAATATATATCTTCTAAGCTTTGGATAAGTTTATATATTTTCCCAACCACTGTAAAATCATCAGTGTAGGCTTTTTCTTTTGAGAGTAGAAATAGTATTTTATAATATACTGCATATATATATTTATATAATGTAAAATAAAATATATTTATTATTTTTGGAGGACACCATATCTCAGGTTATATTGAGCAAACACAAGTCCCTCACTAGCCTTCAGTAATTTCAAATGCAGTTCAAATCCTAGAGAGTATGCTGAGAGTGTTATACTATGAAAGTAATGTAAGATCATCAAAAGTCTTATAGAAAAATGAAGTATTAGCTCTTATTACACAAGGAAATCATGGACTGAATTAGAACTAGCAGTCTGTCTTCAAGCTTTTTTCTCTTTGTACAAATTATTTTTCCACTTTTTAATTTCTTAATAGTACTGTTGTGTCTCAACTGTTAAAATATATTGTTAAACCTCCCAAAATGGTGTTGACACATTATCATAAATCTCTTTGAACATTGAGTCCTACTCTGCTCTTAGCCTTTTTCTTTTAAACATGCTTACTTTTATCATTCTTTATGTGCTTTTCTGAAGAATTTTTTTTTGCCTTTGCTTAAAATTTAAACATGACACTATTGGCTTCTTTTCTTTTTTTGAAATTTTTTTCTGCGTTAGAAACAAACAATCATATTGCACATAATATGAGAAGTACTATTGCTATTTTCACATCTTGGATTAGATAGTGTTTCTTCTTTTTATGAAGGTTTAACCTGCCAAGACATTCTTTGAATACTGATAATGTTGATGTTCTTGCCAGTATGGTTATGTTAGAAAGAGGTATTTTTCTTCTTTCATCACCATGTTCCTTGAAAGCATATTGAATAATGAGACAGCCAAAGGGAAATAATTTACAAGTGGATTCAGTGAGTTTATTTAAAGTAGATATTATTTGGAGAAATGCTAGAGCCATTCCTTAGATGAGCACTACAGTTTTTGGCTTTAGTTGTAATAACTGAATCCCTGTGAGGTCCTGCTATGTATATTTTCATTTATAGAGTAGTTATTTCCCAGAATTAGTTTTTCTCAGTGTGATGATATCTGAAACAGTTTAGTATTGTTAGCTAGTTCATATGTACGTAAATAATTTTGTGGATCATTCAGTTTGGAACATGTTAAATGTGTGATTTCAAATAAGGAATACTTTCATACTTCATACTTGTTGATTTTTGTAAATATTTTCATTTGCCTCAAATATCATTTGTGGTTTTAAAAATTGTTTTAAATTGCATTTTGTCTTGATAATGAGAGGCCTACTCGTATTGTAAAAGCTGAATTGGATATCATTGATATAAGGAGGTTTTAACTGTTACAAAATAGAGAGAAATAATTGAAGGAATGACTTCCCACCTACCCCACCTCCATGTCATATGAGTGTTAAGGCTTGTTGGGATCAGTTTATTTGTTTTTGAGGTCTGGAAAAATGATGGCACAGCTTTGAAGAGTTGAATACCTCTGGTTTCAGTCAGTCTGGGAAGAGATAGGGCCTTAGCTAGGAGCAGAAACCCAGAAAACTGGGCATGGAGATTTGGTAGTGAGTGTGGTGGCTCCCTCTCTAGTTTTCTGGGTCTCTAGGAGAGTAGTCTTTTGTGGTGGTGGCTGAAGAGTTTTTTCAGGGCAGGGGGCATGTAGTAACCAAGAATGAGAAAGAAGGGACACATTTATTGGATTATAAACTGAAGATAAGTAAGTGGTAGTTTATAATCTGTATCCCCTACATTCGTGGTATTCTCTTGTTCATTTTATTGTTCTTTGGATCTTTTAGCCTTTTACTCCATATTTTTGAATGTTCCAGTCGTGCTATGAGGGATCAAGGAAAAGGCTTTTGCCCACAATTGGACCAGTGTTAAAGGGTCACTCCCTCCCCCATACCAGCCAGGGTGTGGAGGCAGTATAGTCAAAGAGAAATTCCAATTCAGGACTGTGGTTCAAATGCCCCTTCCTCATGAGGAAAATTGTTTATCCAGTTGCAACCTTGAAAGTCTTGGTTAGTTTTGTTTTAGTTTCTTTTTTAATTAACTAAGGTGGACGTCCCTTCAGATATATTTTAAAGTTAGCTTGGGGCTGATAATCAATCGTAATTATTTGGTTGTTTTTTTGGGGTTTTTTTGCTGCTTGTAAATTAGTGATTTTTTTTTAATGGTTTTCATGTTTTCTTCTTTGTTATATTAATTGCTTTTACTTTTCACCTAACTTCTGTGAAATAGTATGTGGAAAATATGAGAGACATGTGTAAGTCAAATTTTAGTGTAGTTGATTTCTGATTTTGATGCTTATCCACGCTCTTAAAGGAGTCTCTGAATTCTTCCCCTATTCTTTAGCAACACTTAGTTATTCCTCAACTTTTTCCGTAGTATTTTTTGCATATTTCTATTATGTTATTTTTGCTTTGTCTCCTCTTCTCAACAGCCTGTTGTGGAAGGGAGGGCTGCATCTTACTTCTCTGTGTTTCCCTCAATACTCACTCAGTGCATAGCACAGAGTAGAATACTAAATGAATTAGTTAGTGCTAAAATCAAAATACGTAAATTCATAAAGCACCAGTTTTGAACACTCCGGCCTGTTTCAAACCTTCCTCATAATATTAATTCATAAAATGAATTCTTTCTTGAGGATTCATCCTTTTGGATTAGATTTTTATGGAGTATATTCTCACTTGTATTCATATATACTATTCTAGTCTATTTCCTTTCTTGGCAGTTAAGTCACTGATATATCTTCATTAGAACTAGTCACTGGGGCCAGCCCAGTGGCGTAGAGGTTAAGTTTGCACACTCCACTTCGGCAGCGCTGGGGTCACAGGGTTGGATCCTGGGCATGGACCTACACACTGCTCACCAAGCCATGCTGTGGCGGTGTCCACATGCAAAACTGGGGAAGACTGGCACAGATGTTAGCTCAGGGCCAATCTTTCTCAAGCAAAAAAGAGGAAGATTGGCAATGGATGTTAGCTCAGGGCCAATCTTCCCCATCAAAAAAAAAGAAAAAAAGAACTAGTTAGGAAATATATAAAGGCTTGGCATGGATGGGACAATGGGGGTGAGCACTTGACAGGGACACAGTCTCTAAGAGCCATCAATTTAATATATTTTGTTTCTACCAACTTCGTTAAATAGAACCATATAATTATTCTTTTACAGATCCTCTAACCAAATACACTTTATATACTTACTATTTATCCCAATACATTTCTTTACTCCAACACAGTAGATTTCTCTTCTGATCAATAACACCCAGAGAATTCTGCACAAATCTAGCTTTTTGAGCTCAGGCCAATAAAAGTTGATCAAATGATCTCTAAGGCCCTTTTCAACTCTAAAACTCTTTGATTTTTAAGGATGTGTACCTATATCTTGAGCACTTCCATTTCTTTGTTACAAAATTGGAATTTCACATTTCCATCACTTAAAAGTTGTAATGAGATG